GAAGGACCTCACGAGGAAGTCATCTTGTAGGTCAAAGCTTGGCGTCCTCCACGTTTCTTCCTTCGCCTTTCTTTGTTCCACAATTCACTCCTCCTTTTTCCCGACAGTGGTGCTCGGGCCGTTGTCTCTCCGCCTTTCACGGATGCTTACCGTTATAGCGCTCTCGCATTATTAGCGTAATCATAGCGCAGCCCGCGACGCCGAGAGCGTGGCCTACATTTTCTCAATGTATAATCAATTCTTATTATTCCTCCCTCCCCCCCCTTCTCCCCCTCCCCGCCCTCCTCCGCACGGGTGTTACGGATGATCCTTTTCTGTTTTTACCGTTCTCGCGTACCGACGGTGTGCCGTCTATGAAGCCGCGAAGGATTTGCAATTTGTGCGCGTGTGGTTTTAGCAAATATTGACTCAAAGTGGTAAAACGAGACGCACGTTTGCTCACGTTGCGTTTCGTCTCTCCGCATACGTATACGATCCGTACTCAGCATTCCGCGAAGTATATTTGCTACGAATTTGCAATTTTCGTCTTCGAATTTTCGCAAGCCTGTTAAATCCGACTTGGTTCAAATCGGAGGAGCGAGATATGACAAGTGAACTCGGCGAAACACACGACGGAGGAGAAAGCCTTTCCGTGGAACTTTCAGTGCGCCCGTTGCACGCAGGTCTCTCTCTTGTTGCATCCCTACCTACACCGGCCCATCCTCTCCTCTCGGTCTCCCCTCGCTTGTCTTTTCCTCATTGGCTTGCAGCACGGCGGATCTCTCCGCCGCCTCCGGAGGAAGAAAAACCTGACCTATCGTACGCCGTCCTCTTCTCTCCTTCTGTCCCTCTCCGCCGTTCTCTAACGCCGGTCTAACGCCGCCCTGGAGTCAATCCTTTCACTGCCACGCGAGCGGCAACTTAACGATGTCATTTCGGGCCAACGACCGCTGATGCGGTTCGAGCCTCGGTCGGTCTCGAGTTCATCCTCGGCGCGACTATGTCGGAGGATGTATATGATGCTCGTTAATAATAAAAATTATAAAAAGATTTGTGAAAATTATTTATGGCGACAGAATACATTATCGATAGACGACTGCTCGATACGATCGGCGATCCACCGCGAGGGTATTCTTGAACGAAGATGGGGAAGGTATTACGACAACGTGGAAAGGACGAGAGCGTGCAGGATCAAATTTATTGGCAATGATTGCACGGACCATTGGCGTCTCCGGGCGCTGCCGCCGTGTGTACCTTCCTCCTTCCCCCTCCTCCCCGCCCCCCTTTAATCGCGCGCGAGAGCGTGCTTCTGGAATTATTTATAAACCGGTTTTGTTTCCGAAGCCGTGTATCTGTAGACGGAAACGCCAATAACTCTTGTGGGCTCCCGCGCATCAAAAAAAAAAGGAAACGACTAACAGGAACAGACTTCGCGAGGTTATCGCGAATCTCTCATCTCTGTAGTATCTTATTCATATACTTACCATTATGCTGCTCGTTGACGTGTTACCGGGACTTTTTCGCCACGGTGAATCGTCGATTTGCGACGGCGAAGTATCGACCACAAAAAAAAAAAAAAGTCTGAAGTCTCATCTCGGATCCTCGGGTTTCATCTTGGTTCTCTCCTTCCTCTGCCCCCTCCCCATTTTGAGTCGATTCTCCGTCCGCATCTTTACCTTCTTCCCAATTCTTCGCTCCCCTGCCGTATCAGCAGTTTTTTTCGTAGCCGTCATCGGATTTTGCAAAAAGAATTTTGATGAATTACAAAATCGTATGATACGTTTCGTACTTTATAAATCTTCGATGAATATAATTAAAAGAAATTGATAGCTATGTAAATACGCGATTTAATCATTTTATTTAACTGACGCAATTGCTAGTGTTTTTTTATTGCCGTGATAGTAGCGGATCCAGAACAATAATGATAATAATAAACCGGGTACGACTGTGAGAAATATAAAATTCATATACCGGTGCACGATTATCGTCGATGAATATCGCGGACCGCTAAAATAACAGGACGAATGATAAAGGAGTCTCTTTCGACCACTATCCTACTTTCTTTTCACGTTCTCGAGTGACGGCCACTGGCTACTCGAGAGATCAACGTGCGCAATATATGCTGACATCGACTTGAGATATGCAGATCATAAAGCGCTTGCCAATGTCTCGGCATGATTTTGCAATGGAGATCGAATACATCTCCATTGCGAATCGTTGCACTCGAAGTTACAACGGTATTGAAGTAAATGCACGAGGAAATAAGTAATTTACGTCGTGAGTATAAGTATTATTGTACGTTACACCGTTTTTTAGACAGTAATTATAATGATTAAGAGAAAGAATCAGTACTCCAGTTACACGCGGTAAGAAATATCATTAATATTTTAACTATCTTAATTATATCTTTTCGTGGACGTTTTATAATAGCGTGACCGAAACGGTACCTAAAACGGGCTCCAGACTCTTGCCTTTCTTCTCACCTTAATCGCCAGTCCGCCTCCGTCCGACATTGCTATTAATTCGCTCGTGTTTTGACGTGTACTTTTATCTCTTCTGCGCGTGTAGAGACACGATCCTCAAAAGATTACTGCGCACGATCGATCATGGGACGTGACGGGCGCGTCTGATATGCATATGACAACGGTTTACACGTGTCAGAATTACGGGCGCGCGCGCGCGCTCGCCAAAAGGAGCAGAGCGACGACGATCCGCATGTGCGCGTAGGCATGCAAATCTCACGTGGGCAATTTATCCGCAAGACACAACCGGATTTTCCCGGTGTTCTTCCCTCCGTTCTTCTTCCTCCTTCCTTTCCCCCTTCTGTTTCCTATATATTTCCACATATTCTTTAACAGCTGCTTGATGTTACGCACGTTTGTTTATTTTCAGTTAAGTACTGTGCACTACCCTGCGTAACCGGGCGCTCTGTTTAACTACTACCTTTCTGCCTTTTCATCCTTTTCCCATTCGCTTTCTCCCGTAATTCCATGGTTAGCTGGATAATAGTTACGTAACCGTTAACGCAGCTCCGCGCTCCCCCGCGGTACAGAGTGCAACCGAGCTAATCGTCAAATATTTGCTGAGCCGTATTGCAACGGTCCCGCCGCTATCTTGCTTTGCGCCTCTTACACACGCTTCTCCTCCCCTCCTCCCCCCTCTCCCTCTCCCTTGTCTTATCCGTCTGTTTGTGCACACGTGACGAATGCTTGCGCAGCAGCAGCAGCAGCAGCAGCGGCAGCAGCATCGTCGTCGCTCGAGAAGCACGGCGACGACCACGGCCAACAAGATTTTCTTGAGGAGACCTGCGAGTCCCTGACCAACCGCACCCTTCCTCTCGACGCGGCACGAACAAACGTGAGATATGCTCGAGAGACGTGCCGCGTAGTGATTTGTTTTTTTAAAGATGAGATAATGATAGTTGAATAATTATTTTGATTATATGTAATTAATGTATAATGACTAAATAAGGCGAGATTTTGATTCTTAATTAATATCTTGATAGATCGCGTTGGATTCGCGCAATGTCCAAATGATTGTTTTCGCATCTTCATTTAAGATGGCAAGACTAAAGTATTGAAGGAGCATTCAAGTACTCGTTGAAGTACGTGTACATGAATAATACGTGGTATTTATAGAAAGTTCACAACATGACAGGAAACGTAGCACGATTATGATTTTTGAAAATCGACCGATCGATGGTTCACGGTTGGCTGCTTATCGTACAGGTGCCGATAAGCGGATAAAGGTCAGAGAGTAGAACAACGGTGGACGGGCACCTCTCTTGCGATAGTAGACGCCGAGTTAAATATAAAAGCGTTGTGACACCGGCTGCGCGTGAAATTGTTAGACGTCCGGGGCACGTCGTGCACGCATCTCGTTATCTACGCTAATCCGCTGTTCCTCTGTTAACCGTTGGTAATTTTATTTAATTACTAAGGTCTGCGATGCAGCTCGAAGTAGTGCGTGTCGCATTATCGGAAGCAAGGAAGTATAATATTATAAAAGGAAAAAATAAATAGATGTAAATACGCTAAAGAAGGATGACTATACATATCTCTAAGCATACACTAATATACCCCTTCGCCGTGTTTCCGTTGCCGCTATAATAATCTTATGATAATCGATATTTGATAATATATTTTAAAATATATTTTAAGAGATTAAGAAATTAACGAGAGTATTAATATTCGATTTGTGAAACGCGTCACGAGAAGACGGAAAGCGCGTTTTCCGAACGTGCGACCTTGACACGTTCCGCTTAAAGAATGCCGAACGCACCCAACGTCTATGAATATTTACTGCCGGAAATCACTCGACAAACGCCGACTTTCCCGGTCTCCGCTGCAGGCAAATAATGGTGACTCCGCGATAAGAGCTGTCGTCGGTGAGCGGTACTGCTTCCTGCGCGATGCGCCGGTATGCCGCCGTAAAAATTGTCCCGCCGTTATAATAAATTGCCCGCGCGATTCCCGGCGACGTTGCGAAAGAAAGTTTTCCGCTGAATCTGACGAAGATTCCCAGGAAGACCCGACAGAGTCTACTGGGAGAGGTATCTCGCGACGGTTTTTACGCGTGGGCAACTCGTAGATACGCTTATACTACTTTGTTCGCGTTGCTCCCACGGGAAGGTCGGCTCATCCGTAACCATGAAGACATGCATACTGATTAATTGTCACACCAATGATTTTATTGTATGATTACTGAAAACGTAGCTGGCAATTTGTTCGTTCTTATTGTCCATTCAACATACAATAATCTCACTGAGAACTGTCAAATTTTATTATATCCTCATCAACTGCGGATCGCAAACGTATTTTCGAGGGAATTTGGACTACCAATAGTGAACAATGTTATACAACTCGAGTTTTCAACGCAAAAGTGTTGCGACACAGGGAGAAAGATAATTTCTCGTTATAATTTAAGCTTTTCTATTTTGAGCGTTTCTTGTTTGCCTTTTGCGTTGTATTTTGGACACTTTCGAGCAAGATTTTTATGAAGGTGCGTCATTTTTGTTGCAGGACAACGAACACCTAATCACGCTCGCGCACTTGTCAGACTACAACGTCTACAGGATACCGAACGCCAAGCGGGTTTTCGGCGCACCCTTCGAGTGGGGCGCCTGCCTGAGGCCGAACAGCAACGCCGAGGCCGAAGACACGGAGACTGGGGAGCCCGGGATCAAGGTCATTATTTTCGAGAACGAAAAATCGCGCACCTGCTGGCTCACAGCCATGAGACTCGCTAAGGTAAGGACCTGATACCTTTTATTTCCTCCGTATTGTCGTTTTCTATTTGAAGAAGGTACGAGCGTAGTACGGGCGACTCGAGTGCATCGCGAGTAGTTTGAGAGGTTTGGGGTGGATGCATCAATTGAGCGAACGAAAGTTGAACGAAATTTACGCTCGGCCGAAACGGGAAATGTCATTTCATTACATAAAGTGTAGTCTTAGCGATGTCGATTAGGATTACAACGAATGTTGGCAGATTCACGTGGAAAGTGTATAATTAAAGCTTAATGATACCGGAGAGTATATTATAAGTGACCATCAACTTCGGTAAATAACAGCTTCAATTTGTAAGTAGAAAGCTAATATCAACCGGAGAAACAGGTTCTTAAATTTGCGGCGAGGATAATAACGCTTACAAAGTATCGCTACAATGTTTCGTTTCCCAAGCCGGGAGAGAGAGATTCCGCGTCTTCTTATTCGATTCTCTCGGGCTCTTCCTTCCACGACGTGATCATCCCTTCTGCGGACGGGTCGTGGGTATCATTAGGTCTGTGATGGAGCCGGGTATAATGAGCCTTATTTTCTTTCCGTTCCTCCCCATTTCTACCGCGCGCCCGCGTTCGCGTCGACGTCGAATGTCGAAACTTCTTCGTGAAGTTCAAAGAAGTTGCGTGACTTCGCGCGCGGTTCGTGTTTAACGGAGAGAGAAGAACACTTCACTTTTGTCGACATGCGTTACACACTTACCATGCAGCTTCAGCACGTTTCGCATGGCTGAACTTCTTTTCTTCTTTTAGAAGAGTCGTGGCACTGACACGGTGCATCTTTCTCGCTTTCCTTTCTCTTTTTTTTTTTTTTTTTTTTTTGACAAAAATCGAGACACCCGGAACTCCTTTTTTCCCATCATCGTTGATAATATCGGTTTATATTTGAGCGCAGACAGCCTTTGTCTTCCATCTTCTTCTTTCTTTCTCTCTCTTTTTCGCTGTAATCGAAGTGCTCGCCGAGAGGAGAGTAAGTTGTGGCTGCAGTTACGGGTGTGCGCTAGGAACGCGCGATTGGCAGTTTCGCCGAAGGAAAAGCGAGAGATAGACTTTAGAATACGGCCGCCTACTCCCTATTACGCTACTCTTTACGGGGCCTATTCTTCCACAAGCTGAAGTGGCCGCTCAGACCGCCTCTTCAGTCCGGCTGGTCTCCAGGAAGTACAGCCCCGGGCACGGCGTATTATCGTCGCTCCATCGTTCGCGGAATGATAATCATGCTCGCGGAGCAAATTAAGAATTCGACAAATAATTTATTAATGTACAACAAAAGTAATAAAAGTAACATTTGTTAATGTATCCTATCTTCCGACAGCTGTATGCTCTGAAACTAAACTGGAATAATTCAAACGATGTATATTTATGGGAAGAAACAGAATTCTTAATGAGGCGTTTTATGTATTCTTAATGAAGTTTTATGTATTCACGCTTCATGCCAAAATCTCATAATAATTTTCACTGAATTTAATTTTTCAGATTTAATTAATTTAATTCTCGATCTCGATGATTTTGCTTTAATTTACATAACCGCTGTCTCTCTCACGTAAGCATTTCTTTCGCCGTTCCATTATCGTCATGACTCTTATGTTCATTCCGAACACAACGCTCGCGCTGGGTCGGATAGCGCAAACTCATCTGCCACGGGAGATGTAATTTTGGGGACCCCTGCGCCAGAGAATCGTAACCCAACCTCAGCCGGTGCATCCTCGAGGGTCCCCCGAGCCATGCGTCTGTACTACCGTGGCCGCCGGCGGGCAGACTTGCCTAGTGTTTATCGGCCTCGTTGGTCGTCCATGCCTGTCTGCGTCTCTTGTCAGCCTATCTACCTACCTACTACCCGCTCTGGATTTACTATGTGCTCTTCTCTTTTCTCCGGCTCTCGGCGTCTCTCGCTTCACTCCGTCGTTTATTCTCTCTCTCTCTCTCTCTCTCTCTCTCTGTTCTCTTTCGGCTCCGCCTTTTATCCGAAGGGAAAAGGACGAGACGTCTTCTTGGTCGGTAACGGCACTAAGGTAGTACTTACGCGTGTCTCAGTGAGGCCTTTGTAACTCTTTCATCCGAGAAAAAGCTAGGAGTCTGATGAGATGCGGCGAACGAGAAGAGTTGGGAAGGCGGAAGAGTAAGAGAGAAAAAGAGAAGGGGGGGGGGAGAGGAAGAAGGATAGAAAGGAGAGAGCAAATGAACGAGTAGGCTCCGAGAAATCTGCAGGACTCGCTTTGATCGAGAAGACATTGACACTCCCGTGCACCCTTTTGTGCTCCCTTTGTTTCTACGTCATTCTTCCCCCCCGTCCCGTTTCCTCGTCGTATTTCAATCTTCGCGGACCTCGATTCACTTCACTAGAAATCTGCGAAGTCTAAGTACAGCGCCCGGATCCGTTCTTTGTTAATTTGCGAGGGGTGAAGTCCAAGATAAAAGATGTCACCGTAACTTCAATATTCTTATTTGTGAGAAAGTTTGAATACGTTTATAGAATCATTGTTACATCTATAATTGAGTCAAACACAAAGGAATTCATTAAAATAGGGTAAAAGACATTGTGATGGATTTATTAATGTATAAAGTATAATAGATTAGAATGGGCCCCCGCATAACCAGTCGGATTAATTCAGGACCAGATTCCTTGCTGGACGAAAAATATATCGGATCGCAAAAATATTGCCGTTCGCTACCGATTATAAATAAAATATTGCCATTTGACACTAAGTCCCGGTTGTTTGTTCCGTCTAATGAAATGATAACGAAAATGAGAAAGTGAATAGATCGTAAAGCAATAAGAGCAGCGGATAAAGTAAGCCGCAAATACCGGGTCGCTTTCTACTCGATTACAAGTATCTCTAGCCTTATGGAGTTTTTTTTACGATCCAAGAATTATAATTACCTGCGGCAAGAAGGATTCGAAGACTGCAGAGTCTTGCGCTGAATTTGCACGGTCATTCAATTACAAGGGGAATTTGTCGTGGTCGACTCGCGGGGTAACTTTTCAGCAGCTTTTAATCAATAGCACCGTATCACCGGGAACGTGATTTTGCGATATCGAGGAATTCGACGCGGCATTATCTTTCGTTTACTTAGAGCCCGTGTGCCTCGTTATCGCTCTCCGTTACTCTGTCGCTGATTAACGTTAGCATACATTCGTGCCTTGCCGCTTTCCTCGTCGGCGCGCTTCCCGTCTGCGTTTGCGAATAATTGAATTACGTAATTATCTCTCCAAACGCGCGCGCGCGCGCGCGCGCCGGCAATACTCCAGGGCCGCCTTCAATTAGTCGCAGCCACCCTTCATCTTCGCATCCACCTCGATCACGCTCTTGGCTCCCGAAACGCGAAAGCGACGAATTCCGGTCTTCGCTTAAATTTCCCCGCTTCCAGCGAAAGCGTCGTGTAAGAAGTACAGCGATGAGACGATCGATGACACAACGATATTTCGTCGCCTTTTTAATCAATGAGCTATTTTTACTGCTATATATATATATAGATATATGTATATATATGTATATATAGGAATGTGTAGAATCTTTACGTTATCGAAATTTCACGGTATCAAATGAAAGGACTGATTTAGTGATTTCCTCCTCTTAATAATTTTTTAGTGAATTTGAAATGAAAGTTAGCGAGATTATATTTATGGAACGTTCGGAATTGCAAGAGATGCGCAACTCAAGGAGCCGTAACATGCAGCGCGTTAATACAAAACTTCGAAAGGACGAGTTTATATTTTTGCTGTTGCTAAGCGAATTCTCGCCGGTCGCAAAGCTCGCCGGGATAATTTTCGTACCACGGTGCAAGCTACAGCCCGCATTGGTATATTAGTGCGTGTATGCGTGTGGGTGCCGTGCACGTCACGAGCAATTTACGCTTGCGTGTATGGGTGAGCGTGCGTGTGCGTGAGCAGTCAGTCGAGCATGGATGCGCCCGACTGTCTTGTGGGTCGATACGATGGTTATACCACTGCTGGGTCTACGGTTATGCACACGTTCACCGTCATTATTTCACGTGGCACCGTCTGTTCCTCCTGTCTTGCCTCGTCTCGTCTCGTTTTTCGCGTCCACGTTCGTCTCGTCGCGCGGTTGACACATACTCGCTCGTGCACGAAGTGCGTACGCCCAAGCGTTAGCTTTCTCATTTTCTCTTGTCGAAATTCTTTACGTTTCCAGAATGAAATTCTTGATTTGAATGGACTTTTCATTTTGGATAGCAATTTGGTCTTCTTTTTCGCTATTAAATATCTTTTACATGAATTTTGGAACTATTATATATAAATTAATGTAAAATTAAAATCTAGTGTAAAGCTAAACTGATCAAAATCTGTTTGATATCAATTAGTAATGATGTGCCATAATATTCCATTTTTTTTTGTTATAATATATTTAAATTTGGAATTATTATAGAAGCAATTTTTTTGAATGGATGGTTTATAGGATCTCCCGAGTCAAGCAAGAAAGTAACTTCATTCATAAGTCAGCTTTTGCTTTAAATGACTAGTACCCTATAGTACGTGGGCGATATAAGGAGCTTAGAGGAGCTCACACGGATTACCTTTGACTCAATCACGGAACCTTATCGTTGCCTGCGAAGCGTAGATACTTCCCGACGAAAAGAATCGGTTGTTTCGATCAAGTATTCATCCTGCAATCGCAAGCCGCTTGCAAGAAATAAGATTACAGTTTGTTCGAGCCGAAAATTGAATACCGCTAATCTCGTTGCTCGAAAAATAGATTCGAGGCATGACATTTATTCATGTTTCAACATTTCACGAGACACTATTACGCGTCATATTATCTTTTATGAGCGCCACGATGGCGTGCAAAATAATTATGTATAATTTTCCGAAAGCGTGCGATAAGGTTCTAATTGATTAATTTCAAATTTGATTGACTCAATTTCAAAATTAAATTTTTTTTCTAAGTCGGTCTTTTTATCTTTCCTTTGTCTTTCCACCTCAGATTCTTCTCAAAATATGGTAATTACATTTGGAGCTTCGCGCTCCCCGAAAGGACCGGGAGGAGGAGGAATTTAATTGTCGGAGAAATCGGGAAAAGTATTGGATGGTACTTTCGTATTCTATCCGCGTAGCAACGTTGAATTTATCTAGGCGAGCGCGATACCTCGGCGGGCGAGGGTATATCGATCGACTCCGGCCGTGGTTCGCCTCGCACAGCTGGGCAGCACGCGCTAGTCGACCGGCCGGCGCGGCGCGACGGCCGGTCGACCGGCGCTATGCGACAAAGTGACGCGTGTAAAATTATGCAAATCGCAGGTGCAGTTTTTTACATCCGCCGGCTTTATCGGCCTCTCGGATGTTGCTGATGCGCCCGGAGCGTAGAATCGGTTAGGCGCGCGCGGCGTGTTTGCCCGTCGCGCGCATCTTGCGAACTGCATGCAACGCTCGCGCGTTAACGATGTCCGCTTCGCTTTGTGTTCCAGTACGGCAAACAGCTCCGAGAGAATTACCGAGCCTTCAAGAACAAGCAGTGCGAGCAGAACGGCGGCGGCAGCCCCAAAGAGCAATACAGCAGCTACAATGTGTCCAACGTAAGTGCTCTACGTGTGTATTGTATTTTCGAGTGAACGTATACAGACCTGAGAGCGAGTTTCGGAGAACGATGGAAAACAGAACTCTTGCGAGCAAAAATAGATAAAAATAGATAATTTGTAATATTGATTCATTTTTATCATTTATTTATCGATTCGTTCATTTTTATCTTGTCGATTGTACAGCTGCTCAGATCTTTATATCACTCGCGTCAAAAAAATGTCGATGTAACAAGAATTTTTATCTGAACCATTGACGGCTATTTAATTTCATTAATATAACTATGCTGATGGAATCAACTTTATTTCGCTAAATGTATCATGAATTGATATTAATGAATCTGGAAAATATTTTACCTGTACTTTTCCATTTTTATATTTCGATAAATTATTTCGTGAAATAACCGCGACATTCACCGCGCCGTAATAATCGCGGGCTAAACTCGAAGAGAAAGAAAAGAAAAGTGCACGCAAGCGTATAGATCGTTGCGACATGTGTATAGGTAGATGGATAGAATCACGTACGCGGTGTCTCCTGACGAATTATTTCGCCATTGCGCGCGCGCGCACGATGTATTTTCGACGGCCGCTCTCTCGCCTCGGATACGCTCGAAAGGTAAATTTCGCTTTAGACGCGGTAAATGGAATGGAAGAGGCGATTACGCTGAAATTACCTCGAGTGACAGTAATTTGCCGGGTCACGCCACGTTCGATCATTGCCTTCAGTTATCCCTTTTCCTGCACGAGCCGTCGTCTCTCGTCGAACTTTCATAGCGTCTACTCGGGGGATCTCGATTAGCTCGCGCGATCTCGCGCCCCCTCCACTTTTAACACCTTCCTTTGGTTAACAACTCCGACCCCTTTGTTTATTTTCTTTGTCATTCAATTCTTGATGTCTTTAATGTGTTAACACGAAACGCCATTGAGACACATTTTGTGTCTAAATTCAGCTACGCAAAATGTACACACATGATGTCCTGATATGCCTTGTGATTTCTTCATCGAAACTATCTCGCTGTTTTGCAATTGAAATAAAGAAATTCGTTAGTTAACTTCTACGTAATACTCAGGTAAATAACGTTCTCGTCGAGCAAACTATGTTATTATTCTCTCTACGGGTTGCGCGTGTTTATCGGCTCCCTCTAATTGATACACTGAAATATAAGGAAATTCATTGCGAATGAATGAACGGATGGAAATACGAGAACATGCATCGACCAGCATAACGATGCGGCGCAGCTGGATGCCGATACAGTTAGTGGCTGAATAATTATAGCAAATAGCTCGTTAACTATTGATCTTTTATGTGAAATTCCGTGCGAAATGTGCGAAAATCGTCCGGAGGAGGGAGGCGGGGTGCGGTCGAGATCCTATTCGCTGTATTCGCGCATTCGTTACCTCAAGTGCACAGGTGCGGTAGTTCTCTTTCGGCTGCGCTCCCTTTCTCTCCTCTCCTCCCTCTCTCTCGGTGCATGCAATACGCCCTGTTTATACAATGGTTAAACTACGGCAACGCGAATTCCGCTGCAACTAGCTGGTGTCGTATATCGTGGATTTTATCGTGGCCGGTGCTACCATGATAATAAATTCGCCGATCCACGATCAGAGCTCGTTTCTCGGGATGCAATTGCTTGCGATCGGTTGGCTGAAAGGCAAAACGAGAGCCCTCGGTGACAAATTAATTTTCCCGAGGAGGATTTTTGGGCGGTCGATTAAATCAATTATTTCGGTTTGATTCGTTAGTTGTTGCGCGGTAATTAGATTAACATTTTTGCAATTTATACGTGAGAAATAATAATGAATATGTGTGTGGGAAACGTCGAAAACACAAAAAACAGTTTTGCTTAATTAGTAGAATTAATAAGCGAGTGTGTTATTCATTTTAGCTGCCGTGAAAAGAGATTGTTTTCGATGAAGAATGTTAAAATATATAAATGCATGTGTTATATTACATGCATTTTTTCGGGCACCTCCGTAATTAAATTTAAGCGAATAAATAATGTAACGACTGCGCTTTGCGTGCATACGTTCAAAATATCACCAATATACTAAATTAATAATAAAGCGTAACAATAATGAGATAAATGTGTATGAGAATCGATAACGTTAAAATGTAAAAGAGGGACTTTATCGGTGATTCTTCAGGATTCTCTTTATTAATAATTTTCGCGGATCTCTCGTTCAGTTGAAAATTAATAGCTCAACGGCGCGCTCTCGTGAGCTAATATATTACTGTCAATTATCGAATATTTGCTATTTATGTTACACACGGATTGAAATGACAAATAAGAACGAAATGAAAACGCCCCGTGGGAGAGATTCCGTTGCACTTTATGTGTTTCCACTTCTTCAATGTGTGAACGAAATTATAAAAGGAGAGGACGAGAGGTGTTAAAAGGAACACTCTCGCATACCCTTTTTACGATTCGAAAAGCAAATTTCCTCGGAGAAGTGCCATCGTAACTTACGCAAGGAATGCGAAGAAGGATCCATCCCCATCGGATCTCAGTGACCTCATTGTCGTGCCATCCCCGACCTCGTCGACGAGATATAAGCTCTCTTTCTCTCCCTTACCCGCCCCGCGCCCCTCTTCCCACCCTTTCTCCTCCTTCTCTTTTCACCCTCTCTTCGTTCACGTTATTCTTCGGGTCCTCCTACGCGCTAAGACGTCGACGCGTCTCTCTCGGTAGGAAATTTCATCCTCGTATCGCACAGCTGATTCCAAGGTCGTTTCCGTGCCAGCCAAGAGGGACGACAACCCCTCGTCGTCGGTGTGTACTCTCAAAGCTAGACACGTACCAATCTACCCCTCCTCCCCGTCTACCCTCCTCTCGTCCCGACTGACTTATTTCTTCTTCCGTCCCTCTTTTTCCCGTCGTTAGAAAGATAAAGATGTAGTTCTTGTTCTCATTACGATCGTACCCGTAGCCCGACCGGTGCTCGTGGAAGAATTTTTCAAGTTGTTGAGTCGCCTTATCGATGAATAGCGAGAGTTGCGTCATCGGACATTTCGAAACTGTGTTAGTATATAAAAATAATTCATGATTAATTTTATCATTAATTAAAATATGTTCGATTAAATTACAATATATAGAAAAAAAGTTTAATGCTGAGGTCAAAGCAAGGTGTAACTTTCCGAAATGAAATTTAAATGAGAATTTTAAAGATAAGATTCTCCGTTTAATGTGCTATTGCATTTTTTTTGTATTTCAGGAATAGACTAAAATATATTATTTTTATGTTGTTATTTGAATTTTATGTTAATAACGTTGTGCATGACTTTTTATGGGCATATTGATGATTCACATTTTTCTTGTCTCCACAATCTCGATGACTTATTGCAATGGTTTTAATCTCGTGATAATTGTAGGATGTTTTGTTTGTATTTTTTTTTTCTTACAGCCGCGCATAATTGTTACAATAATGAAGTATTCGTGAAATCTCTGCGACGAAGGAGATATCGATTAGGTGGCGCGGGCGCGTGTGAGATGCATTATCGAGCCGCTTTGAAGAACTGGTTCTGAAGTAGCGATCTTAACGAGTTTCCGGCAATAAATTACTGTTCGTGCCAGTTATGAATTATCCGCCGAAGGAGCACGGAGGATGACAATTAAAGCCCAGTATGGAAAATAACCAGTATTACGCGCTTAATGCGCAAAAGTGCGAGAGAAAAGATAGTTGAGCGTTGTTTTATAAAACGCCGTAATTGATAGAGACGATATCCTGACGTGGTTCAACGATAATCTCGGAGTAACAGCAGGAAATTACGCTCTTTATAATGAAATGTGGATTTAGATAATTTCACCACTAAAATAATTATGAAGTAAGAAATTAATTTTTGCCGCTGGGTGTTTCGAGATATTAAAATAATTCAATTGACGATATTTTACAATATTTTTCCAAAATTATGCGTAATGTGTAATTCCGATATTTTTGATCGTCGTCAACGTACGCCGACGAGTAAAAGGTGAAAAAAGAGGAGGAACGTAAAAATATAACCGTCGGGAAAGGCGAACGACGAGAAGCGCGTGGAAAGACGGAACTTCAACGATCCTTTCTCCGAAGTCTCATGCATTGTATATCCTTGTGCGAGCGGGGGGTCCGAGGGACGAAAGCGCGAACCTGTCTTGCACTTCGTTTCGGTTGAAAGCTTCGATCACGGATATCGTTCGTTCGTGTCCCGCTTTTATCTTTATTCCTAGGGAGAGAGATAGAAGTGTGTGCTTCGCGTCGCGACGATAACAAACCGACAGGGCGAGCTTCGCATTTTCTCTTTTTCCGTGCATTTTCTCTTCTGTTCCTCGTTGCACGGTGTACGAGATTGAACATTTAAATGAGTGGGACGAAGCTCCGAAGTAAAGTTTTTCACGCGAAAATTAGTCGAATCTAATCTCCTGAATGTGAAAAGATATCTGTGAAAAAGGGAGAAGATAAAATAGTAAAATTTCTCTCCGTTACATTTTAAGTGAAATATATTTACAAGAATCTACGCGAGAACATGAATATGAATAAAATATCAATTTACGATATAAATTTTTATATTTAAATTTACTGTACAAAATATAAAATTTATCATATTTAAATTTATTGTATATAATAATAATGTATTATTAAATTATTTTTAAATATTTTTCAAAGTTGTGAATATAAAATTGACACGCTAAATTTCAATAATATTTCTGAAAATATATATACGTCGTTGAACATTTTACAATATTTTATCCTCGATTTTAATTTTAATTATGTCATTCAAATTGAAAACTATATTCGACGATGTCGAACCATTATGCGTCGCTCTTATTCGCGAGATCATTATGTCATTTCGCCGAAGCTCAACGAGTTATCCACCTAGATCGCGTTTAATAAGCTGCTCGTAGTCGACGTGAAAGCATAGTCGCTCCGCTTTTAGCCAGACATCATATTTCCCTTTAATGGCGCGACGGCCAACTTGGATACGGAAGTGTCGGTAGCACCCAACAACGACGTTCTTTCCGTTTTTC